TTTTAAGTTCACATGAGATTTACTGACTGCTGTTCTTTAAAGCAGATCTTACCTCCCTACCTACTACATGCCTTTTCAGGTTTTCAATATTCTTTGCGTTTCTGCAGAGCCATTCACAGTAGAGCCTGAGGCACTTGAGTTCCTCGCTAGACATTCGTTCGATTTTAATCGATTAATTGATTCGGGTGTGCGATACTATCCAAGTACAGTTGCTAAGGTTCGTATATAATTGTGCAATAGATCTTAGATCATTGCTCCAAACTCAGTTTTATTCAGGCGTGCCCGCTCAGATCGCTTATAACAGAAATCTTGTCACGCGGTGCGCCACTGATCTTACACAATGGTCTAGTGGATCTCGCTTTTATATATCATCACTTTTATTCACCTACTCCTGATTGGTGCGTTTAATTTACGAATAGGATTTATTAATCAACTGTGAAGGATTGATTTCATCCTAGTTATGGTGAGTTTTGCAATGCGCTTGCTGACTTATTTCCTTCTGATTCTCCGGTATGTGACACGAAATACTTGGCTGAGTATCAGACGCGTATGGCTGGCTCCTTTCTGGAGTACGTCTTCCGGAAATGGTCCGTTCACCTTTTCACATTTTTTCTGCTTATAAAAAAATTCGATCACTTCAGTCAAGGAGACAATGTTCGCGAAGAGTTAGCATCACGCTGGCATCTGAAAATCACCTTTGATGACACAGCGTTGATGATGGCACCGCTGCGAAATGCATGCGAAAGAGTAAATTGTCAACTTCCAGCTGGTTTCCCAGAGCACGTGGTACCTTGCGATCTCAAAGGAAAAGTGTGCGAACAATTTTCTGTAGGTGAAGCTATATAGGAGGGTTCCAAACATCAAAAAAATTAGAAGTGCAAGTTGCAGAATCATGGATTTTGTCGAAAACAACGACAAGGACAGTGCAACCTATTGCACGATGTTGATTATGCCATTGATCTCGAGAATGAAAAATTGGAGAAGAATAGGAAAAAGAGGAAAAGGAGGTAAGTCATGTTGTTAGTAGCTGCTCCAATAACAGCAACTTATGTTTTTTTTT